ACAAGCAAAGCCTGCTCTGGGGCAGTTTATATTCTAGAGAATTCAGTTTTAATAAATAAAATGAAACCAGCAGTCAAGAAATTGACATTTCTGCTATCCTCTGATATTAATCTGCAAACTTAGTAGCAAGTGCTAAAGTTAATGAAAATGGGCTGTCTTGGCTCCGCTGAGGTTACCTACGGCTGTTAAATCATTCTAGGTGGCTGGGGTGGGGGGGCGGAGGATAGGAGCCTCTTAAGGCATTTCTAGGCAAGATGAGGCCCGTGGACAAGCCCTTTTTCTCACACTCGCACCTTTCTTACTTGCCTATTACTTACTTGATCAGTCATTCTTGAGACAGAAACATGTGCGATTGTGTGCTCTATGAAAGGAATCAACTGTTCATACTCTAGGTTGCAAACTGGCACCCCACCAGCTGAATCTGGCTGCAGAAGACAATTGTTAGGTCTTCAAGGCCACCCGACAAGGCAAGTCTTCTTTCTTTCCCCCTGACAGTCTGTCTGCTGGTTTTGCTTTTCCCCTAAGCTGTTTCAGAGCTTCTTACATTACTCTGTGTTGACGTGCCAAACTGACACCTCGGTTTAGTGGGGTTTTTTTGTTTGTTTGTTTCTAATCTGAATTGGCTGCCATCATTAAAAACTCTGAAGACATCAAACAAAAATGCAAATATCCAGCTACTCCTGGAAGCCGGATGACTGAGCAACAACTAACTCCAGGCTGGCACTGCCGCACGGCAGCGGCCGGGAGAGCAGGGGCAGTGGCAGCCCCTTCAGAACCGGCACCACTCATGCCCGGCCCGCGTCACCTGTCCATGCTTCTTGCCCGACTCTGTGCCTCCTCTGTTCCCCTCGCCAGCCAGGCTGCAAGTGAACGCCCTTGTGAGAAATATTGCTAATGGTAATGCTAATATTTGTTGGAAGCAAAGAGGAGGAATACGTGCAAAAATATCACTTAAAAAAGAAAAAACAGATCCCGTACTAATCTCTTCTATAAAACTCCCCAAGTTTCGGAACAGAAAGCACCATGTTTATGGTGTTCTTAAAAAATATTCCTTTTGCTAGGTCAACTGTGGATTTTACTACATGCAAAAATTTTATTTGCAGCTTGAAAACTGAGGATAAAAACATGATCTATTTTGAAAGGCGGTTAGCAAGAAGACCCGAATTCTGAGATCCTTAGGGATGAAAAACCATTTTTTCTCAACAACAGAATTCTCAGTAAAGACAGCCCCTGGAAAATGGAATTTACTGACACACTATTTTGGAGACATAATAGTGGAGACCTCCCCAAGCCCCCATCCCAATCAACACTTCCTAAAATAAATGGTATCTTCTATTTCTTTTTTTCCTGAAAGGTCATATGGACAATTGAGATAATTTGTCCAAAATGAGGTAGCGGGTGGAAAGAAAAAGGAAAAAAATGTCTATATTGACACAGATCTGTATTCCACTGAAACATCTATGTAACTTGTTGCTTTCAAAAAGGAAATGTCACTCTTGATTCCCACCACCATCACTTCCCATCTCCTCCCTGTTCTAATCATGTTTACAAGCTTTAAGAAAAAAGCTACTATGCCTCAACTGTCCTGTACACCCCTGAAAATAAAGCAAGATTGTCTAGGATTCAGGACCAAAGCAGACTTGGGAACAAACCTCAAATTCCCTCCACGCTTCAATGGGGCAAGAAATGAGTTAGAAATCAACTTTAGATATAAGAGCTCCTGGGGTGGAAAAAAGATTTTCAATACTGAACTGAGCACATTGACAAAATGGTCTGTTTTACTACAAGTGTTTCTTTAATGCAGAGATAGCTTGTAAGTGATTAATAAAACCAGAAACAGAGGACATAGAATGTGGAAGTCATGTTGGAGCATATGCGGTTTGAAGTGTTTTTTTAAATTTTAATTGAATACAGAATAGTTATACATATTTATGGAGTACGTATGATGTTCTGATACAGGCGAACAATGAGTAATAATCAAATCAAGTTCATTGGGGTATCCATCATCTCAAGCATTTATCATTTCTTTTTGTTGGAAACATTCCAATTCTACTCTTTTAGTTATTTTAAAATGTATATTATTATTAGCTAAGGCTGCCCTATTGTGCTACCTAATACTAGATCTTATTCATTCTATCTAACTGTATTTGTGTACCCATTAACCGTGCTCATTTTATCCTACCTGCCCCCCTTTCTCCATTACCCTTACCAGCCTCTGGTAACCATCATTCTACCCTCTCCCTGAGTTCAAATTTTTTTTGTTAGTTCCCACATATGAGTGAGAACATGTCATATTTGCCCTTCCATGCCTGGCCACATAAACTTAACATAACATCCTCCAGTGAAATGTGCTTTGAAACAATCAGGCACAAACCTTCCCACCAATGTAAGAGAAAACCCTAGCAATATATATGAGACCTTCAAAAAAAAAAAAACCCTATGGAAGTGCCGTTAGTGCATGTAGTGGTCTATTTAGTGGCTTCAAGAATTGCGATACTTTCCACTATGTTAAGCTCTCTGAAAAGTTGGAAGTCCAGATAAAGATGCTGTAGACCAGTATCCACTTAAAAAAAACTGATTGATGGAGAAGTCTATACCCGGGATCAGATTCTCACTTGTGATGGAAGAGGTCTCCATCAGAAGTGTACGTCTTTAAGGACTTACATCTTTGAGAATGGAGGAGGAGCTTCAGGGTCTAAGGCTGCAAACGACTGACTGGTAGTAAGGCTGGCTGCAAATGCCAGTGGAAATTTCATTGAACTACTGGTTTTCATTCAGGTGGTTATTTTGTTAGTGCTCTGGTACGAGATGCAGACTTCCTTAAGTTTTGAGTGATCTTCCTCTACCCCTATTTTTCCCTTATATCCCTATTTTTTGTCTATGCAATTTTGCAGAAGGTAAGGTTTTTCAGTCTAGGGCATTGAAATCAAAATCATTATACTGCCATTTTGTTGGTCTACTCATATGTCAATATGCCACATTATAAAGTGTAGTAGCTATAGCTGTCTGAAGTTTGGTGTACTCTTATAGTTGGTAACCTAGACATGTGGTTCTTAAGTGAAGGGCTTGTTAGGATTTCATTTTAAATGCTAATATTATGCTGCTGTTAAAAATGCAATTCTAAAAACTGTGCCCCAAAACATCCCAAAATATTTATGCTATATGACATTAATTAACAGAAGAAGAATTCAAAATATACACACTATAAATATAAGGAAGTAGAATACATGCAGGTGGGAGGCAACCAGTCAAAACAAACTGTACTACAGTAGTGGTGACTTTAAAAATAAAGTATCTCATTTCCTACATTAGCTATTTCCCACAAATGTTTGTTTCTTTTGCCTGGGATTAATCATCAATTGGGGGAAGTTTTTAGAGAAACATTTTATATCCAAGAAATGACTGAACAACAAACAAATACAGTGAAATATGTCAGCCATGTGATCATTTTTCAATATGTTTTCACATGTTATGAAGCTTAGCACAAAAGTAGCAATCAAGTGTTGGTTAAACACTTATGAATGTTATTTGACTTAATAATTTCTTTCAAATGACATGCATGAAACAGCTTCGGGGCCCTCAGGACTGGGGAACCAGGATGGGATCCTGACGACGGGGACCTCGGGTTGAAAGCCATCACTCTAGAACAAGGTGCTTTCCTGGCACCTGAAGCAGCTGCCGGGTTTTACAGAACCACCAACCAAGGCAGCACCCTTGACGTCACATTCTCTACTGCTGCAAGAAGCAGCAAGGTCAGGATAGGGTTCCCGGCAGAATAGTCTTGCTTCTTGGAATAAAAATTCCTACAAACTGGCCCATATAGCAAAATTATCCACTAGCTAATGGACATGAAAGTTTTGTAGCAAACTAAACACACAAATGTCCCAAATCATTTTTAAAAGAAAACACAAAGAGGGAAAGAGAAAAGAAATGAATGAGAGTAAAACCTGATTTAGCAGATACCAGTTTATTCAACATAGTGCATGACTCAAAGCATCTGACATTCCACAGCCAACAAGGTTTCCGACTTCTCTATTACAAAACATTGGATGATACCCTGAATATAGCTAATTCAAGGTTCTTGAACCTTTCCTCCTGTAGGTATTAACAGAACTAAGCAGGTTTCCCTGTTTAGCACACATTTCACGTTCACTGAAGGCTTTGGGGAGAGGGGAAAACAGGGCTTCTAACTGCCCCTCTGAACCAAAGGCACTTAATGTTGAAAGATAAAGCACAATAGAGTCACCCCACAGACATTCCTTTGTGTTCAGGTTGCTGAACTTTAGCACACCATCGCTGGCCCACTGGCCCACGTGGGCTACGCCAGAGCAATGTAGAAGACACTGATTTCCTTGGGAAAACAAAGTGCAGTGTGAATATAAAGAACTCATCGCCACCCTTTTCTGAAAATATTACATAAGAGAACTCTTATTTTACATGATTAGTATCACCCAAGGTTCACACATGGAAAAAAATAGCTCAAAAATAATCTGTCATAAATTCTCACTATGAAATCACAATATATTCTGATAATCACTCTTACAATTTGGAGATAACCTCAGAGGTCAGGTTGTCCACCATCATTTGATGCATCAGGGCTCTGAGGCCCACGCAGAAGGTCGAGTATTAGACCCTGGGGCCTAAACCCTGGGGCAGAGCCTGGGTAGCATGCAGGCCTCCTGAAGCCTAGTTCAGGGTTCCCTCGCTCCCCTTCCTTTTTTTTTTTTTTTTGAGACAGAGTCTCACTTTTGTTGCCCAGGCTAGAATGCCATGGCGTCAGCTTAGCTCACAGCAACCTCAAACTCCTGGGCTCAAGTGATCCTCCTGCCTCAGCCTCCCGAGTAGCTGGGACTAGAGGCATGAGCCACCATGCCCGGCTAAGTTTATATATATATACATATATATATATATATATATATGTTTAGTTGGCCAATTAATTTCTTTCTATTTATAATAGAGATGGGGGTCTTGCTCTTACTCAGGCTGGTTTTGAACTCCTGACCTTGAGCAATCCACCCGCCTCAGCCTCCCAGAGTGCTAGGATTACAGGCGTCAGCCACCGCGCCTGGCCTCCCCTTCCTCTTAAAAGACTCTCCAAAGTAAAACACGATGACGAGGATCTCCAAAGATGCACCACATGATAAAGCACGTGCACTGACACAGGTCAGCGATTTGGTCTCACAAGATGGTTCCTTTGGCCATTGGGCAGGTACGTAACCCACCTTGGGGTGGGAGTTCTTTGCATGAGATCATTCAAAGTTCCAAGGGAGGCCCAGTGCAGGTCAGACATGACTTCTTGGATTTGGGAAGGCTCTCCTTGGCTGTCAGTCCGTGGTGGGCAGGCGGTCAGCTGCACAGCGGAATCCCAGATTCGAAGAGGAACTATCAGGGGTGTTCTGGCTTCGAGCAGCACAGCGATACCTATAGCAGTAGGACTGTGCAGAGAAGAAAGCGACGTAAGTGCTACTGGGACAGAGGGCTCCACACTGGCAGCTGCATGTTACACAGAAGTGCCAGCTGTTCAGAAATTATGCTGCCCTATACACGGTGCTTCCCCACAACCTTCACGGACACTTAGCGCGTGTGCTTTGGAAGGAGACGCACATTCAAGAGTTAGCCACATATTATCTGATGTCCTTTACCTTATAAACGTAACACAGATGCAGTACAAGATGCTGGTGTCAGCATTACTTATAACAGCAAGAAGCAAAGAAATGTAGAGACCAATGGTTGCGTAAGTTTAGGCACATCCATAGGACAGAATCATAAGCAGCCACTGAAAATCATGTTTTTACATAATATTTAATGAGAATGTTAAATGAAAAAGTCAGACTGTAAAGCTGTAGATGTAGTATGATCTCAAGCTTGATAATTATATATGCCAAGAAAAAACAGACCGGAAGATTCAGAATGCACCACAGTAGTTGTCCTCCAGCAGCTGGGGTTCGTATTTTCTACACTAAGTATATATTGATTTTTGACATGAAACTAAGTGATAAACATAGATGGCAACTGGGAAAATATTAAGAGTAACATTAAGATACCATTTACTATCCAGTATCCAGTAGATGGGCAAAAAATTAAACAGCCAGCCTAGGAACACCAAATGTAGGAAAGGCTGTGGGAAAACGCTGCTTTTTGTATACACTGCCTTTAGAGTTTAAATCATCCGAACTCAGAGCTATGCATTTGTTCGTGTGGTTGTTTTGTACCGGTGTTATTTATAAGAGCAAGGCGCAAGCATACACACGCACACCAACACAGACCTTCAGCATAGCAGGCATGGTGCTAGGCACCATTACCTGTTACTTCATTTTTATCATAACAGCCCAGAGAAAGTAATGAGTTACCCAAGATCTGTCTGTGGTGTTCCTGCTTCCCTAGCAAGAGTATACTACACTCCCAGAGGGAAAGGTACCACAATCTGTGACTTCTTTTCCCACACCCAACACACATCTGCCTACACACACACACCTGCACGTCCCTGGCCACCTAGCCGGTATTCGGTAAAGAACTACAAATTACTTGCCACAAACACTTCAAAAGCTTCCAGATTCCAAATATAGTCATGTACGGGACTCTTGTGCTCTAGGATTGTTCTCTGATCCAAAATAACAGAGAATGAAAATAAACTAGTCATCCTGGGTACCACGAGCATAAACTCTGAATTGGCCCAGTAAGACCTCAAGTCCCTGCCGGCCGGTTAAAGAAACGACACAAAGAATCGTGTAGAATAACGTTGGAATTCGCGCAGAAGAGATAATTTGCAGGTTGGGGAAACAAGTCAGCATGCAGGAAGATTTTTTTTTCTTAAATATGAATTATTCTCTTTTCTCTCACAAAAGTACAGTGCTTCTAATCTTCATAAAATTATCTCTGAAGGTGACAAGACAATTCTCTGGAGCACTTCCACCATAAAAAGAAAGACACAGTGCTTTGTCTTCTATAGTGATACAACAGCAACTAATTTTCTCATGTTCCTTGTGGCCAGGGAAGAATATAACAAACATTACTAAATCTCAGGTAGGCGGAGGGAAGTTTAATTAAAAATGTGTTTGATAAAAATAATAAAAATCGGTGGCATCTGCTACTGTGTGTGGTCCACATGCAATAGAAGCTCTCAAATGACTAGAGGTGACCATGCAGGAAGACACAACAAATGCCTCACTCCACGTATGGCCTGCTCATTGGGCTGCTGTGAAACAACAGTGCTCTGGCACTTCTAGAATCAGGTTCCTGTGGATGATCCAGGGTCCCATGAAACCAAGCATGCTTAGTGAATTCCATACTGCAGTAAGGATCAAGTTCAGGGTAGGCAGGACGACAGACAACAGATGACATGGGCATTCTTGTTCTATAACTGTACCACACTTGTGACCAAATCAATCATGCGCTTCCTGATTGGCCACTGTATGTGCCCAGCGGGGAAATCATGTCTCAGCATGGTCTTGTCTTGCTGGAGACCACAGGCTGGTTGAGGAACAGATTACACATCAATCAGCTACAAGACATGCTAGGGTTAAACAATTCTGAGGTTATTAGTAATGGAGGTGAAGGAAGTGTTCCTTATAGAATGCAAAGTCTTTGGGAAAGACTATTTTGGAAGGCACAACTTGATCTGAGTGGGATTTCTCAGACTTCACACACGAGCAAGCCTGGAGAGCATGTATAAATCCAGCACCCAGAGATTCTGACTCAAGAAGTCTATGGCAGGGCCCTAGACTGTGTATTTCTAACAAGCTTTTAGGTGTTGCTGATGCTATAAGGCCCATGGCCCACACTTTGAGCACTGATTTATTTTAAAAGGAGAAAACAAGGCCCATCAAGTAGAGAAAATAATGATGTCGACAGCATGAAAACTGAAAAATTCAGGCAGCTTAAGAGGATAACAAGACCATAGCTGGATCACGTCAGAGCATGGTTTATTTTTTCATTAGATATATGGGCTTACAATATGTCAGATGCTATTTTAGGCATGAGGGATACAATCAGAACCAGACAAACAAGGCACCTGTTATCAGGGAGCTGACATTCAACAGAGAGCAGTGTGACAATAAACAAACCGATAAACTGAAGGTTATTTCCGGTACCAGTCATGTCAAAGGAAACTGAGATAAGGAAAGAGGACTGAGAGTGACTGGGTGGACACTTGAGACAGGGTGGTCTGGGAAGGCCTCTCTGATAAGGTGACATGTGGTCTCAGTTGCTCAAAGATCTGGAGAATGAGAATTCCAGGAGTGACTGGTACAAAGACAGTTAATAATGACCAGGAAATGTGGGTGGATAAATAGGATGGAGTCACATTCCAGTCTTCTCAGCAGACAAGAGTCTGGGCTTGATACAAGTGAAAACTGTGACAGCTAACATTTTACTATTTAATCTTAGCAAAGGTGAAGCCTTTCTGAATTTGTTCCCTCATCAATAAAATGCAGCTACTAATGGAATAATTTTAGCATACTTCACCTTGTTTTTACATAAACAACTAAAGCACTACACACGTGGAAGGCCTTCTAGCTGTTACTTTATAATGAACATAACACTCGATCACAGAAACTAGTTCTGCCTGTCTTATCTGACCTCTCGGGGTAATCTGTTTCCTCACTACAACAACAAAAGCATTAGCCAGCTTCTAAGCAGGTCTTGGAGAGCTTGTGCTCACTTGGAGAAAGATGATAATACCCCTCCTCCAGCATCTGAACCTGGATACACATTTGCTACATGAATGGAAAAGTTGAGGGATCTCTCTGTGGATATGACATAGGACTGAGGTTTTTGTTGGATGACATATTCCTATCTGCCATTTATCTCTTATTTTAAAAACTACTTTAAAATAAAATGATGTTCATATGCCACAAACCCCAGGATATAACAACTCAAATGAGCAGTATCTGCCCAGAGCACTGTGTTGAGAAGGATTCCCATAGCTGTGACATAGGCTAATGTAAAAGAGATCCATATTATATAAGAGATTTTTACCATGGCTATATATTTGAAGACCCTGGTATATACAGAATAATTCCATTGTTGAAAGAAAACAAGAGAATGCATGAAATATTTGATAGAATACTACTACCAGTTTTCCATAGGCAGCAGGATGATTTTTATTTCCATTTTTATCTTTAATGTTTATGCAATGAAAATGTTTTGTTTGTATAACAAAGACCTTAAAATCAGTGACAACAAAAGGAGTTAGTTCTTTATCAGATCACAGCAATCCCTGAGGCCTTTCATTAACCAAAATGACTATGCAGAACTCAACACTAAAAAAGCAAGTCTCACTACAAAAGTTAGTGCGGAGAGGTCAGGCCCATCACTTGAGAAAACAGTCAATTCACACCATCATTCCATTTCAAATGCACTGGTTCACTCAGCAAACACTTATTAGTAAGTCGTTCACTTTAAGTTCCAACTAATGATGCACATAATTAAAGAGGTAAATGGCCTGATTATGAATGTCCTCATTGTTCTTTTTTTCCAACTCTACTTTTAGCATTTTAAGTGGTTCTTAAGGATGTGAGGTCTTTAGGTGGCTGAAAATGGGTCATTCTATTAATTAAGAACAGAAAAAGTGGGAAGGACCTGTTTTAGTCCTATTTCATCAAAATGTCTAATTACTGTGTGAAATTGATCTCCATATCTGTGTTAAGAATGTGACAGTGGACTTGGGAACAATCAGTTTAAGATAATGACTTACCAGCCTTGGGGCTTTGAAGCCAAGTGGAACAGCAATATGGTGTTTATAGGAAGAAGACTTTTAAGGTAATTGTGGCTCAAGTTGAACAAAATCATTATAGAGAACCACACACTAGAACTCAGGTCTCTGATTTCCCCTTCATTGTTCTTGCTACTGACAGTAGACCAACTCCTTTTGCTCTTCATCTTGGCAGGAGAGTAAGGATTTCCTCAATGCTATGGGGGGCTGAAGACCCCACAGGAATTAATCTAACAACATCAATGACAACAACTAATATTTCTTGAATACTTACCATATGAACCACTCTAAGAACCTCACATACATTAACTCACTTAATCCTCCCAAGAACCCTGTGAAGTAGTACTATTAATATCTACACTGTGTATATAAGGGAAAATTGAGGTAGAAAGATGTTCACAGTGTGCCTAAGATTACATGGTTTACAAGTGGTAGATCTAGGATTCCAGCCTATTCAATCCCATTCCAAAGTCTGTGCTCTTAACCAGATGCCATGTTGCCTCATAGTTCTTTCTTTCTGTGCCCTCTTCTCCTTACTGAATCTATACTTTGGATAGACTTCCATAAAGTTATCAATGATCATCAGCATTTACTTTAGCCAGGCAAACTGGCCCTGACCCATGATCGAAAATAAGCTACCTTCTAAGCAAGGTGATTTTTAAGAAAATGAATTACAACATTTTTCTTTCTTTTCATTGATTTCCACTTACATCATAAGCATACTATTTAGGATTCTGCCTATCTAGTTAGGAGCTCATTAGTTGGTTCCTTCTCCAAAGGAGAAGGAGGAGGGACATAACCAAATTATAATAAAAAGGATGACTAAGGAGGATGTTGACAGGAGCACCTAACGTCTACTGAACCTTTACCATAAGCTATACCAAGAGCTTATCTATGCTGGTCCATTTATTCCTCATAAAACTCTTTTACAAGGGGTGCAATTATGATGTATATTTTACAAACATGAAGACTGAGGCTTAGAAAGGTTAAGTAATTTGCCCATGGTCACATACCTAGCAAGGAACAGTTACAAAACTCCAGTCCAGATATAATACCAGGATCTATATCTTAATAATTTAGTAAAAGCTGCTACTCTTAACATAGAAGGTGGCTAAGTACTCGGAAAATAATTCACTACCAATACTGTGCTGCTTTCCTAACCTCACAAAAATAACCAGACTGATGTTAAAAGACCAAAACAATGTACAATTCACTTGACCACCAAGATCCAGGAACTGCTGTTATTCTCTGTAAAACCCAGTGAATCCTATTCAGTTTTGTCACTCTGCTACTCTCCTCTTCTGGAATGTTTTCCCCATCACACTGAGCCTGGCTAAACTAAAACTTATCCTTCACGTACAATACGAAAAGTTAAAGGTTTATTATATAAACTCTAAATCAACCACTAAAATTTTTAAACAGAGTTATAGGTAATAAGCCAAAAGAGAGAAAATGGAGTGATGAAAAATAAGTAACCAAAAGAAGACATACAGAGAACAAAGGGAACAAAGAACAGATGAGACAAAGACAAAAAAAAAAAATCAAGAAGGCACATTTCAACTCAACTGTATCAATAGTCACATTAAATATAAATGGTCTGAACACCCCAAGAAGAGGCAGAGATTATGCCAACAAATTCAATAACTCAGATGAAATGGACAAATTCCTTAAAAGACACAAACTACCATAATAATCAAGAAGAAACAGATAAACTGTATAGCCCTGCATTTATTAAATAAATTAAATTTATAGTTATAACTTTATGCCCACATGGCTTCAATGGAGAATTCTTTTTTTATTTTTAATTAAAAATTTTCTTAGGCCGAGGCAGGCGGATTGCTCGAGGTCAGGAGTTCAAAACCAGCCTGAGCAAGAGCGAGACCCCATCTCTACTATAAATAGAAAGAAATTAATTGGCCAACTAATATATATAGAAAAAATTAGCCAGGCATGGTGGCACATGCCTGTAGTCCCAGCTACTCGGGAGGCTGAGCCAGTAGGATTGCTTGAGCCCAAGAGTTTGAGGTTGCTGTGACCTAGGCTGACACAACAGCATTCACTGTAGCCTGGGCAACAAAGCGAGACTCTGTTTAAAAAAAAAAAAATTTTTTTTTTTCTTTTCTTTTCATGTGACCTTGTTTGGAAATATTCACTGGTGAATTCTATCAAACATTTCAGGAATGATGCTAATTTTACATCAACTCTTCCAAAAAACGGAAAAAAAGGTAATATTTCCCAACCCAATCTATGAATACAACAATACCTTGAAACCAAAACCAGAAAAAGACATTATAAAAAAAGAAAACAACAGGACAATCCCCATGATGAACAAAATGCAAAAATGCTCACTTATCATTTTAGCAAATCAAAATCCAAAATATATAAAAAGGATAATACATCATAACTAAATGGCATACGTCCCAGGAATGCAGGGATGGCTTGATATTTGAAAATCAATGTAATTTACCATATTGAAAAAGAAAGAACATATAATCATCTCAGTAGACACAGAAAAGGCATCTGGAAAATCCACATCCACTGCTGATAAAAACTCACCAAAAAATTATCTATAGAAAAAAACCTCCTCAGGCCAGGTGTGGTGGTGGCTCATACCTGTATTCCTACCACTTTGGGAGGCTGAGGCGGGACAATTGCTTGAGTCCAGGAGTTCAAGACCAGCCTGGGCAACATAGGGAGACCACATCTCAATCAATCAATCAGTCAATCAAATCCAAATCTAAAAAATAAACCACCATCACATTGGGAGTTTGGGGGGAAAATCCTTCCTCAAACTGGTAAGGGCATCTACAAAAAGCTATAGCTAATATTATACCTAATTTTGAAAACTGAATGTTTATTCCCTAAGGTCAAGAATGAAGTATGAATGTCTGCTCTTATCATTCCTACTCAACCATACAGTAAGAAACAGTTATAAAAGGCATCCGGACTAAAAAGGAAGAACTGACTATATTCACAGATCATATGACCACCTATGTTGAAAACTTGATATATTCTACAAAACCATTACTAGGACTAATAGATGAGTTTAGCAAGGCTGTGCGATACAAGAGGAACACATGAAAATCAACTGTACCATGTAAGTGTATTTAAGAAAAACATGTATTAGTTTAAAAGATATTTTAAAAGAATCAAGTGGAAAGCTTACGAAAACAGATTAAAAACAATCTATTAATAAAAACTATAGAACATCAGATGCATTCATATGCATGGATTTAGGATGGTTTAGTGTTATTCACTTGTTGAAAATGTCTTTTACAAGCTTAATTTTCCCCATTTATTCTTGAAAAATCTTCTGGTCCCCAATTACTTGGAAAGTAAATGGATTCTCAATGTAGAAAAGTACCATATGTTCCAGTGGTCTTTGGTCAAAAAAAAAAAACAGAAAAAAAAATAAAAAAAAAAATAAAAAAAGAAAAGTACCATATGTCAGAGACATAACTGGTAGCAATTAGGAGTTTGAGATACTATTGTACAAAGAGAGATTTAACTGTTTCTCACAGAAGTTTGGATGTCCGGCAAGATCCAAGTACACCTGTTTTAACAGCTTCAATTAGAGAAACAATCTGGGACGAAAGACTCTGATGTACATATACGGACATGTAAATATACTGGGAAGACCTGGGATAATGCTTTTAATTTAAAATAAAAACAGGATTTTATAAAGATTAAATTTGTCTAAACCTTGTTATGAAAGTACCGTGTTTCCCCGAAAATAAGACCTACCCATAAAACAAGCCCTAGTAGGATTTCTAAGCATTTGCGCAATAGAAGCCCTACCCCGAAAATAAGTCCTAGTGATGGGTGTGGCTACGCAGCGCATCTGCACAACCCACGCATTTCCTCTCCGAGCTGTCAAGAAGACGAGCAGCCCTTCTCATCTGCCTCATGAGAGCTCTATGGCTCAACATGAGAGATTGGGGCCAATGGTTCTAAAGGAAATAGAGTCACAAGACATTCAGGATAGAATTTGGGGTTTGGAGAGTTAGGATGATGTTCCAGAAGAAGATGACTTCACTATATTTGAATCAGTGTAGATTGTTGTACTGTACTTTAAAAAAATAACACATCCCCTGAAAATAAGCCCTAGGGTGTCTTCTTGAGGAAAAATAAATATAAGACCCTGTCTTATTTTTGGGGAAACATGGAAGGTACAAAGCATAAACTGAACTAACTCTATGAACATCCCCCTGAATCACTGGATTAAAAATTCGAAGTTAATGCCTAAGTCACTTGGTTGAAAAATAAAAAATATATATAAAATAAAATATTAAATATTTAAAAAAAATTCTAAGTTAAGAGATACAGAAGACACACATACCAACAAACTCACATGTACAGTCTAGAGGGATTCTCTTTAGGCCAGTGGTTCCCAAACTTTGCTCTCTGTTTTCATCACATTAAGAGCTTTAAAAAATCTGATGCTCTAGTCACGTCCTGGAAAAATCCAATCAGAATGAGGATAAGCAGGGAACCAGGCATCCGTATTTTCTGAAGATCTCAGATGATTCCAATGTGCAATGATGTTTAAGAACCACTGTTTTCAAGCAAAATTTGATAATGCCACCATCATCAAATTAGTAACTGAATTTGGAGCCATTATATGTTGTTTTAAGTCTCCAAGTGCCTGCACTAAGTGTATTACCTTGGGAAACTTCTTGGCAATAACAATCCGCAAAATGCCATCTTTGCACAGATATAAAAGAAACTAAAGTGCTGGAGACATTAAAAATATATGATTCGAAGAAAAAACGGAGGGGATGGTATTCGATTTCCAAATTCCTTATAAAGTTTACTTATAAAACACAGGGTTCCCTGCACCGAACCAATAACAGCCAGCTCTGACAATAAAACCATAGTGCAAAGAGCAGAAACACTCTCTGAAAAGGCTGCTTGTTTCACAAGGCACAAACTTTATGCCTAGAACACTCGGGATGCTTCCATTTCCATATATCACAAACCACCCTCCCTTTATAACCCTCACCCGAATCTCAACAGAGAACCCATAAATGTATAGAGTCTCAAATAAAATTATAGGGTGTGCTTCCAGACTTACTACTGGAAAGAGTATATCACCCCACCCTCACCTCTAGTTAGTTCATGGACAACAAAGCTCTCTCAAAGGGGCAGGATTCAACAGACAGCATTTGGTTGACAACAGGTCATCTCCACCACCTCTGCTTCTTCTGCCACTTTTCCCCATGCTTGGAATCACACTTAAGATGAATGTCCTACTTTTTTCCAGTTTCAGTGGGAACAGGTATGTATTAGCAGAAGTAAATGGGACAGTTGGGGGCTACTGTTTACCATGGATCCATAAACCTGCTATTAGAACACCAAAACAGAGCTAAGTGACATGACTTACCCTATGGCACATGTAGGATCCACCCTTCTTCACACGGTCTTTCCCAGAAGGGGGCCCTTTCTATGGATAAAGAGAAAAGAATAGGTTAGTCCAGAGACCACACTGCCCCCTCACATAGCTGGAGAGAGTCCATTTTGATCCAATCAGCTCTCTCATGGTTTCCTAAACTCTCCACACGCCTTCTGCCCTTGGGCCTTCTGCCTGCACCCATGGACCCTCACAAATGCCCATCTCCCCCCAAATCCTACCCATACCCTAAGCTGCACCCCAAGTTCCTACTCCTTGGTGAAGTCTTTCTGATGACAGGAAGCAACCCTGCCTCTAAGTGCCCCCAGCATTTCTTGCCATTGTGACTGATTGGCAGCACGTTTGACTCTGCCTGGTCGATATGCAAATTTATCCTGCCTGATCACGGCTTTGCTCAATGAGAGTCACAAGCCTCTTTGAATTACATGCTTTTATAATCCCACTGTGCACACCTAATAAACCCTTTCCTGATGGAATAAAAGAGTTTACTTTTTATCCTTTTAAAAAATGTTAGGTCTGGTTTATTGATGTATACTTTATTAAACAGAGTAAAATCCACTCTTTTAAAATGCACATTTCTGATCAGTTTTGACAAATGTATAGTTATGTAACTGCCACCACAATCATGATGCAGAACATAGATTATCTTTTAAAAAAAAAGACTTCTATAGCACTCACTATGAATCAGGTATGGTTCTGAACAATTTGCAAACAGTAATTCAGATACTCTCCATACAGTTTCAGCAGTGAGTTATGTAAGTGACAAGTGGCACAGCCAGGCAGCTTTGCTCCAGAGTCCATTCTCTGAAGCACTGCACTGTGCTCTCACTAAGAGACCAACAGTGTAGGAAACTAGGCGGTGCCTAAACGGAGGCAGGAAGGAGTGGCAACTATCTATCGCTGTTAGGAGAATTAAGATCCGTACAGAGCCAGTCAAAAGGCCAGGCTGTTTTTCTAGGGAGGGCTCAGATAAAAGTGCAATAGAAATGAAAATCCTAAGGCTTCAGCTGCCAGGATAAAGCCTCAACATCAGGTCAGCCTTGCAAAGAGAATCTGAGAGGTACCAAGAAGCTCTGATAAGCCAGAACCAATCAGGGGAGGCTGAGGGATAATGATTTCTTTGTTTTCCTTTGTTGTTCAAAAAGCCAACCAATCACACAGCTGCCTTACTCTCTGCTTACTGAAAACAAGAGGCCTGGAGAATCCCCCTTCTATCTTAGTTTTCCCTTTTCCCGTCCACCAGGTATTACCAAGGGCAGAAGTTAAAGAACCACATTTTCTCTAAGCATGGCCAACAAACATACTGTCTTGCAAATGTTAACTACCTCGGCAGAAGTGCATGTTATCTTCCAAGCTTTTCCAGGTACAGATGTTCCTTGATTTAGGATGGGATTACTTCCTGTCTTGACATTAACCTACAGAACTGCATAGCTTAGCCTAGCCTACCTTCAATGTGCTCAGAACACTTATACATTAGTTGACAGTTTAGCAAATCATCTAACACAAAGCCTATTTTATAATAAAGTACTGAATATGTCATGTAATAGACTGAATATTGAACTGAAAGTGGAAAACAGAATGGTTGTAATTGTACTCAAAGTACAGTTCCTACTGAATGTGTATTGCTTTGGAAGCACTGTAAAGTTAGAAAATTTTAAGTCAAGCGGACATTAAGTCGGACTGTCTGTACTTAGAAACTGTCATTGACCAGTCTTCCTTCCTTTGCTGGGCCACAATTATTGCCAAGGCTTTAAATGCTTAATGTTATGTTAGCAAACTCTCATTGATTATAAAAGGACAAGCTGCAAATGTGAACAGCTACATACGAAAATAATAGCTAGCAGCACAGCTTTCTTCCTAGGAATGTCTAGAATCTGACAGATATTGCATCAGAATCTGCTGGGTGATTTCCAAATTCCTTATAAAGTTTACTTATAAAACACCAGGTTCCCTACGACTAACCAAGAACAGCCAGCTCTGACAATAAAACCATAGTGCAAAGAGCAGAAACACTCTCTGAAAAGGCTGCTTGTTTCACAAGGCACAAACTTTATGCCTAGAACACTCGGGATGCTTCCATTTCCATATATCACAAACCACCCTCCCTTTATAACCCTCACCCGAATCTCAACAGAGAACCCATAAATGTATAGGAGTCTCAAATAAATTTATAGGGTGTGCTTCCAGACTTACATACTGGAAAGAGTATATCACCCCCACCCTCACCTCTAGTTAGTTCATGGGACAACAAAGCTCTCTCAAAGGGGCAGGATTCAACAGATAGCATTTGGTTGACAACAGGTCATCTCCACAACCTCTGCTTCTCCTGCCACTTTTCCCCATGCTTGGAATCACACTTAAGATGAATGTCCTACTTTTTTCCAGTTTCAGTGGGAATAGGTATGTATTAGCAGAAGTAAATGGGACAGTTGGGGGCTACTGTTTACCATGGATCCATAAACCTGCTATTAGAACACCAAAACAGAGCTAAGTGACATGACTTACCCTATGTTACCGCAGGTTAAAACAACTTAAGTGGTTATTTGCCAGTCATGTCTGAAGAGCTCATCTGTCCGTGTACAAACTCCAGCAAGGAGAGAGGCTGCGGAGCCCCCACCCACCTGCACCACTGACCCTTACACCAGAGTCTCAGGGAAAAACTCATGGAACACAGGGAATCCGCCCACACCCACGCAGGAACCAACATGAATGACGTCTCCAAAGGTCCTACTGCCCATAACTGCTCTAGTCCCACAGACACCAAAATACTATTAATAACAGGCCTCCAATGCTTTCATCAGTGCAAGGAACAGCAAAAAACACAAGTTTCTACATGTCAATCCCAATAATCTTAAAAGGCCAACGTGCAGCTAAAGTTCTCAGGAAGAGATTAAGAAGCAACACTCTGAGTGTTACTGCAAAGAAATCTACCCCTGTTGAAAACACCAGGGAAGGCATAAAAGTCTTTAGCAAAGAAGGAACTCCACAGATGATGTGGAACCTTGCGTCAGGGAGACTGGCTTGTTCAATGAGGAATGAACCTGCATGAAGAGGGGTGACCAACTTGCTCAGGGCTGCCAGGACACGTTTCACAGGCGCATCAACAATGGCAGTCTCTGTAGTCCAGACAGACACTTCCCTTTCCCTTTTTGTCGTTACCCAACACCTGACAAGGAAAGTGGGAAAACATTTGGCAAATTCCCGTCAGTCGGCAAAGAGTTACATTTAAGACTGTTATTTGACATAATCCATAGTGTGGAATACTAGGCACCCATTAAAAAGAATGAGGCACTTCTGTATGTGTATAGCACACTATCATTTTTACCATGAAAACACCACCACCAAGCCTTCATTTATTCTGACTTCCATATACAAAAATTATACCTCAGGGAAATAGAAGAGCTCTGAAGGAATGTTTCCTTATAGAGGAATTCCACATAATTAATGCACAAAGAGTAACAGAATACCACCTAGAATATTATTGTGTTTTTTTTAAACTCCTAGAGAACCTAATCTAGGAAACGACTATCGACAGCTACAGTGACAAAAAGGCTGATGGAGGGGAGAGAGAAGATGGCTGACCAGAGACATCGGTTGCCAGATGGTTCCAGAGGGAAGGAAAGCTTTCAGATAAAGGAGAGGAGGAGAACACAGAGCTCAGGTTTAGTGAGGAGGGTGGGGAGGAAGGCGCCAGAGTCTGCGGGAGATTCCATGGGAAGAAGTTATAGAGCAGAACAGAAAAGAAGACGACTCTGGCAGAGATCAAGCCCAGAGAAGCTCGCGGCGGGTGCAGAGGGTAGGTGGGGTGTCGCTTCTCCTTCCCTCACACTTCCCATGCTCAGCAGGCTTCCGAGCTGCCTGGAGCTCTTCCACCCACAGGAGCACGAGGGCTGTGCAACCACTGCACTGGGTGGGAGCTTCCAGAGAACGAAGCGCTGGACGGCCAACCCCTCGGGGGTGGGGCGCTCCCCCTAGCCACCGTGCCGGACGGTGGGCACCACGCTGCTTCCCCACAGACAGTGTTCTCTGGCAACTCCAGCCCGTCGGCTTTCATGTCGCCTGTCCCCACACGGACAGTTCCCAACGCCGCCCAGTCCACGGTGGGCCCCGGGGAATTGGCGTGATCCCAGAGCCTGGGCATTCCTCCTTCGGGGGAGGGACCAGAAGGGCTGGAGTGCCTGCTCCTCTCCATTCAGACTCCTCCCGCCGCTGTAGCCAAGAGGGACAACTGGGTGCAGACTCTCAAAGGCGGCTGCCTCCTCTCTGTGGGTGCAGACAGGAGTCCGCGGTTTCCACAGAGGGTAGGGCCCACACCTCTCCCCTGGAGGACCCGCGGGGGGCCTAGGGGTGCTCGGTGCGGGAGCCACGTGCCTCTGGTGGGACAGGCACGCAGGTCAGATCCCGTACCCCAGCACTCAGTCGGGTTGCCTGAGGGCACAGAGGGGAGACGTGAGGGGAGACGTAAGCCTGGGAGGCAGGTGAGCCCACCTGGGCAGAGCTGACGGGACAGCGCGACATCAGTCTGAGAGGCAGGCAACTGGCGGAGCACCCAGCCCCGCAGGAAGGCTGCCCTTGCAGGCAGGAGCGGGACCTGGAGGTGCCACTGCCGGGGAGCTCCGTGAGGTTGGGCCCCTTTCAACCAGACACCGGAAGGCGACGCTGGAGGGCGACGCTCGGGGCCGGGCGGAGGGAGGAGCGCGAGACTCGAGATCGCTCCACTCTGCAAATCCGAGATGGCCCCTCCCCGGGAGCCGACTGCCCCGTCCGCTGAGGCGGCTCTGGCCGCTCCCCAGTGGCTTTCCCCACAGGCCTGGCCGCCAACTTTGGTCCCCGCTGAGCTAGTTCTAGGGTCTACCTCAGTGGAGCCCAGCCTAGCCCCACCCAGCCCCGTTCTTCCACCCACCTGCGCTGTGGAGCTGTGGAGGGGACAAGCACGCCCAGGGAGCTCCCGGCCCGCCCACTGCCCGGGTCATTCTCAGGAGGGGCCAGAGCGGGGCCCCGCCCACTGCCCGGGGCATTCTCAGGAGGGGCCA